ATATATATATATATATATATATATATATATATTTAAAAACAGTGCAGATGGATGCAAGAACGCATCCTGTGTAAACAGCCCCTAATCAATCAGAACAACTCTGTCAGGAAACTTTAAAGCCAAATAGGCTGAACAAGGGAGGAGTCTGGCCACAAGTAAGTGTGTGTGTGGGAGGAAGAAAAAGCAATCGAGGGATGACATCATTGTTAGTGATCACTTCCAAGGCTGTATCTGCAGAAAAGAGGAGAAAATGCTGGACAGAACAGATAACGTGGATGGATTGTGCAGGTAGAGTGAGCGTAAACAAAACTAGAGAGGCCATCTTGCAAAAAGGTGAGGAAATTTCCAATGAGACTGCTGAAATGATTGAAAAGAACGGCTCGTATGGCTTAATGTGCATGTGATGCATTATATACCATAAACATACCATAAAAATTTATATGCACAAATGATTGCATTTCTGTAGTCTTTAAATGGCCTGGATTTACAGACAGGAAAATAACAGCATCATTTGAAAAAAAACAACAACAACCTTATAACACCACCTGCAGAACAAAGTGTCCCCGGGGGGCACAGTACCATCTCCCCTCAGAAATCTTTAGGACTTTAGGGCGTTAATCAAGACAATCGCTAAAAGACTCAATAAAACAAAGGGTGTAGAAGAGCTCAAGCAGCAGAAGCCCCTTCTGCCCAAGCTGACTGTAAAAGGCTGGACTCTAATAGGTTATTGACTATTGCATATGAGACAGGATGACATCACTGTCAGCCAATGGGAGAGCAGGAAGTGCGGAAGATGAGAAGAGTGTTTTTAATTTGTGTTTTGCTGAGCTCAGCTTCTCTCACACAAGAAAAAGACAAGAAATGCGTCAATGATGAATGTTGGAATTAATAAACGGAAGGGAAGAGGGGCTGTTGGCTTGTTGTCGAGTGGGCACGGGTCAGCCACGCTCTCTGTGCGCCTGTCACTGTATCCAGGGAGACCGTAGCTGGAATCAGTTTTCTTGTCGACTGTGTATGTGTGTGTTCATGCTTGTGTGCTTTTGCTGTACACTGAATGCATATTCATGCACACATGCAAATGTTTGTCAATCCTCCTTGACCATTACTGCGTGTGCACTTGTCGATCTTCGATTCACCTGATAATGAATCATTCCTCTCTCCGCTCCTCTCTACCTCCTACGTGAAACCTTTCCTTTTTCGTTCTGTCTCGTTTCTCTAAAATATGTAACCCCGTGGCTAAAACATCTTGCCATCTCCATGACAACTGTTGCTCCACAAATCGCTGGTTAGTTAGCACAAGCTCTAGCTGGGTGACGTAATGTTGTCTCTGGTCTTCTGTGGCCACTGGACTTCACCACTTCTTGGCTGGGCTTTTAAATGGTAACCATAGTGTGTGTCTGCCAAAACACTTATGAGAGTGTATGCAATGGTGTGAGTATTTCCACACTGAGTAACTAACCTGTTACATAACAACAGGAAATGGGTGCTGGATACACTTTGTAACGTTTCACGGTTGGCTTAATGGCATTCATACCACTCAAAGGTTAGACACTCAAATGGTTACATGTGAATGGAGCTATTTAAACAACAAAGATTATGTAAAAAAACATGCATAGAATAAAGAGATGTCATAAACCTCTCAAATACATATATAAATAAACATACATAAATGAATTTTCATTACAAATTATAAGTAAAAAAATCTGAGTTAAAAGTTGAAAAAATAACAACATGAATTTAATTTCTAAGCATTAATTATGTCCTCCTTCTGTAATTAATTAATTTATTAAATTAAATATAAAAAAATATTCAATATTATTTATCTCCACCATGTCTGATGATCATGTTATGTGAGAATGACTCAAAGAGCATCTTGTGCTTTAGTGAATATCTGACTTTTGTACAAAGAATTTCAAAAGGTCACTGTCAGAAAATGGCTTTTTTTAATATATATTTTTAATTTTATAAACAAAAACATTATTCTATAATTTTTAAAAGGTAAAAACTCAAATCAATGCTGAAGGTCAATATGAAAAATGCTAACCTATCCTACACCACTGTAAACTGGCCTTACCACACTGTCAGAGTACATTCATGTCAACCAGTTACAATATTCAATATTATTTATCTCCACCATGTCTGATGATCATGTTATGTGAGAATGACTCAAAGAGCATCTTGTGCTTTAGTGAATATCTGACTTTTGTACAAAGAATTTCAAAAGGTCACTGTCAGAAAATGGCTTTTTTTAATATATATTTTTAATTTTATAAACAAAAACATTATTCTATAATTTTTAAAAGGTAAAAACTCAAATCAATGCTGAAGGTCAATATGAAAAATGCTAACCTATCCTACACCACTGTAAACTGGCCTTACCACACTGTCAGAGTACATTCATGTCAACCAGTTACAACCTGACAACATCTACTCTATACATATCATAAGAGTGCTTATGTGTCAGAAGACATATTTCAGAATCTGTGCAACAACTTGTGAAAGACCCTTTGCCCTTTTATGGATTTGTGCATGTGAGCATAAGTGTGCATATGTACTGTAAAGAAAGTGACATGAACATGCCCAGGTCATGTGATGGGACATTGTCAACCTGCAAAATTATTTATATGGTTGTGATACTTAAGTTGTGACAACTAAGGCTTTATCTGTGCACATGTACTACGTATATCTGCATTTTTTTACTTATTTTTAAACTTTCTAAAAGTCTCAGTCCAAAACAACAATTGTATGTGAATTACAGTGATAAACTGTAGAGTTTTCTCCTATGGAAAATTCATGCTGTACCTAATCCTTTTAGTAGAGAGGAAGAGGATGAGGTGTGTGTGTGTGTGTATGTGTGTGTGAATATGCATCTATTTGCTTCATCTAATCCAATAGTAGTGCTGAGTTTTTTTGGAAGCAGCATCTCCCAAAAAAAGTACGGAGCCAGAGCACTCCCTTGTGTGCTAAATAAGAACTTCAGCTAAACTTTACAAATTTCTTCAACAACAGTGGCCTGGATCACAGGAAGTTACTCCACTGCTCAAAAAGGTTTTATTGTATCTTTTCATGTTTTAACGTATTTCACAATTAGGACTGTCATCCTTTGACATCCATTTTTTTCTTTTGAACCACATACACACAACAGCAACATTTTGATCACAGATTTGTCTGAATAAATTATATCCCATTCAAGATTACTTTCTCTTTTAAGTTTTAATTAAGACTCTCAAGACTCCCATACAATCAGTTCCGCAAAAATGAAACTTAATGGTTGTTTAATAACTAGGTGCCTATTAAGGCACATGGGGCTCATATATTATTTAATACATATTGTGAAATTAGAATGTACAGAATAAACCACTGATGAAAAAACATGTTATGACTTGCCTGTTTCCAAAGTCTGCAGTAATTCTGGGGATCCAGTCGAGGTTTGGCCAGACCGGTACAATGGCTCATTCTCCCAGTCTTGAGCACAGGACAGAGGTCAGGTTTATAATCTGATGTGTTTTCATTCTAAGCAAAACTGTTTAGTAAATTGAACTGTTGGAGAAATAAGGTACATTTAAACCCCTTACAAAAAGTACTGTGGTGGTGCAATGGTAAAGTAATGGTATAAGATGGCAAACACATTGTATTTTGATATATGCATTACCTTTCAAACGTCTGAGGTCAGTACGATTTTTTTAAAGGGGACATCAGATGCCCATTTTCTACAAGTTGGTATGATTCTTTAGGGTCATCATGTCCCCTTTAATAATACTTTTATAAAGCAAGGATGCTTTAAATTGATCAAAAGTGACAGTAAAGACTTATTTTGTTACAAAAAATTCGATTACAAATATGCAGTATGTTGTTCTTTTAAACTTTCTATTCATAAAAAGTCCTGAAAAAATGTGGAATGGTTTCCGCAAAAATATTAAGCAGCACAACTGTTTTCAACATTGATAGTAATAAGAAATGTTTCTTGAGCACCAAATCTGCATTTTAGAATGATTTTTGATAAATCATGTGACACTGACGACTGGAGTAATGACTGCTGACAATTTAGCTTTGTCTTTACAGGAATAAATAGCATTTTAAAATATATAAAAACAGAAAATAGTTATTTTCAATTGTAATAATGTTTCACAGTATTACGTTTTTTTATTTATTTTTACTTTAACTGTATTTTTGATCAAATAAATGCAGCCTTGGTAAGCATAATACACATCTTTCAAAAACATTTAAAAATCTTACCAAACCCAAACTTTGAATGACATTATCATTATTACCGTGCTACAACAGAATCTTTCATATGTAATTAACTGATTCTAGAGGTGAGTTTTTTGTACTTGCAAAAATATATATTTAATTTATCATGAAGGAAATATACAATTACTAGAAGTCGTCAAAAACATCATAGGTCACAAGTGTAAGTGCTAGACTGGTGTCTAACTCTCTTTGAATAGTTTAATTAGATAGGTGAGGCAGAGGAGCAAACTCACCCAGTCTCTCTAGAGCCTCAGTCAGCCTGAGCACCACGGCTGGGGTCTGGTCATGCAGAGCGCACTGCTCCACAACATCTCCCTTTCCACAGGGGCCTGTCAGAGAAGGAGGGAGAGAGAGAGAGATGATGATGAGAAATCCCACTGGTGAGACTAAATTTCCTGATTAGGTGGCTGCCTGTAAACCCACATCTTATCTCTCCTTAGGGAACAGTCAGGTTGTCATATTCACACAAGCATGGCAGATATGCAACTTAATACTCAAGCCTCAATCTCACACACACATTAATGCAATAGTTCACGAACTCTAAAAGCCAGAATTAATCTGGTTTTTGAGCTAATGTAAACAAAAAATTACAAGTAATATATTTAAAAATGAACATTAAAGGGACAGTCCACTCAAAAATGAAAATGCTGTCATCATTTACTCACCCTCATGTCATTCCAAAACTGTATGACTTTCTTTCTTCTGTGGGACGCAAAGAAGATATTTTGAAAAATGTTAGTAACTAAACAGTTTAGATTCCCATTGACTTCCATTGTATTTTTTGTCCATACAATGGAAGTCAATGGGAATCTAAACTGATTAGTTACTAACATTCTTTAAGATATCTTATGCTTGTCCCACAGAAGAAAGTAAGTAATTCAGGTTTGGAAGGATATGTGTAAATGATGACAGATTCAGAGACAGATGACGGGGG